AGATGTGGTATGAGTGCCAATGAGACATTTCTCCATCCAAATCACAATTTGTAAAATAAAAACCATTATAGGTCAAAGTACGATCTTCAACACGGAGCCTTGGCCCACACCGAACAGCAAGCTACAAAGGGCCCCAAAATGACCAGTGCAAAACCATTCAAACGGGAAAACTATGCAACGGTATAATCTATATAATAAACAAGAAACGAACGAGAACACTTATGAACCACATCAACAAACGGCAACTACTGAACATCAGGTTCCTGACTTAGAACAGGTGCAAACAAATGCAGCGGGTTTAAACGTTTTAATAGGTACCAAATTCACTCTTATCCGAAACAATAATGCAACATATGACCTTTAATATTGAAGGGCTAAACTTGCATTGAGCCGTGTTTAGGCCCTAAAATAGAAAATGAAGAGATGTGCATGGAACAAAATCGCACACAATACATAGAAAAAATACAAATTATCAATGAACAGGGCTTTAATTCCTGTTCTTCATCTTGAAAGTAGCTGGAGGTTTTCAACTAGGAAAAGAACCATTCATACCCTGAAAACAACAGCCACACACATTGCTATGTGGATTACAATGTTTTGCTTTATCCTACACTCTGGATTTTTTCTCCAGAAGACCTGAGGTACCCAGCTTCCCTTTGCACCTAGTGCGGACAAAAGTATTGCCGTAGATTTTTTTTTATTAACTTTTCGGTAATGGTGTGGTAGGGTGGGTAGCTAAGGTCTACTTGAGAACAAATCCAGAGTGATGTTCGGCTTAGTCTTTTTTATAATGTAATAAGCTGGCAAATTATGAAAGCTCATGTCTTACTTGATAGGCGTAGAAATAAAAAGAAAACGTCTGAAAACCAATAACATTCTACCGGAGACAAAATAACTTTGGTTTAAGCAACTATAGTATGATGGTCTGGATGCGTATTTCTTCATTTCTGTATTCTTTGATATTCTGTTCCATATTTCTCTATTCTTTAATCAGTGTTTCAGGCCATTTTTCTCTATTCTTTATCATGTTTATTTCTCTATACTTTTTGCCAAATAAACTATTCTTTTTATATTTTAACACCTCATTATTCCATTTTTTGTTATTTCTTGGTCCATTGTCTCTATTATTTATATTTTTTTCTCACTATTCTCTATTCAGTAAACCCCCATCCACACCCAGGCTCTAGTTAAGGTCACCATAGAGCTTTCAAAAATAAGCAAAACTAATACCGAGTAGGCTCCGAATGGCAAAATGATTGAATGCTAATCCCGGTTTGAATTGTGAAATTGCGGAAATTTGTTTTTCAATCAATTGATCAAGCAAAACACATTATCGTCCTGAATGTTCGTATAATGGACTTTGGTTATTAATTCTAATCATCTGAGATCAACCTTTCTAACTTCAAAAGTAAAGATCACGCACCCTTATTGTTCAGATTGATAAAGTCTTTTGCATCCGTCGACATTATCTTCGATTAAAGATCTGATAACCACAGTGACTGTGCAAGTATACTTTAACGACCGGGGTAGTTTTCTTATAAGTTTTAAAAAGTAGTAACCTCCCTTGTTAATGTGATGTTGTAATCAATCTATTTATTTGTACCATCTTTATATAATATTGTATTGTACAATTTAAATTTATGATTCGTTTAATATTTGAATATAATAATTTATTTTTTGTTAAAGATATAAACAAGGTAATTTGAAAGGCTTTGATTCATTTATCACCGTAGTTCAACTCATAAGTCAGGCGGTCTATTTTGTCTACATTATGTTGAAAGAACACCGGGGTGTTTACATTGGCATTATTTACTATCAATGACTGTGAAACAAGAAAGGAAAACATTGTACATTATAAAACAAGAAATAATTAAAATTAAATACAAAATTCTTGTTTAGTGAAATCAAAAACGAAAAACGGAAACACTTTAGATTTTCATTTTGGTTTTAGAGAAATAAAAAACAAAAAATGAAAACACTTTCGTTTTCCGTTTTGGTTTTAGAGAAATCAAAAACGAAAAATGAAAACACTTTTGTTTTTCGTTTTGGTTTGAGAAATCAAAAACGAAAAATGAAAACACTCTCGTTTTTTGTTTTTTGTTTTTGATATTTCAAAATGAAAAACGAATGGACGCAAATATACACGGACCAACTAATCAATTAAAAATCAAATCTCCTTTTCTATTATTTCGTAATTTAACCATATGCATCAATTTCAGTAATTGACAAAGTCATAATTATTCATAAATAAAATTAGTTGATAAAGGTATTTTTTAAAATTTTTTTTTTGCTTTCGACATTTAAATGTTTCACTTGAATGCTTTGGGCTTGGTTGTATCTATTCAGTAAAAATGTGTATACCTATGTGCAAGCAAATAAGGTAGAACTTTAATTATTATGTGTCTTTTAGGAATCGTAATGGGTCTAATAAACCGATACATATACATGTTTCCCATATATAACATTACAATTAGGTACATCCTTGCAATTCTTTGGCTTTTGGAAGCATGTTAACGAATACAGACGAAATACGAAATAAAATATACATACGAACAATATGTAAAAAAGAAGTGGACATAATATTTACACTGATATTTCCCTTTTTTATAACACTGTTGATTTACACGGGTTTATTCGTGATCTAAGCCTGTCTCTTTTCTGGATACTTCAAATATTCGGTCTGCAGATGTTGGAGTAGCCGTTTTGTTACTCCTGTTGCGTTTGCGACCTACATGAATGTGTGTTACGGTTATATTCGTTTTGTGCTAAGTAAAAACTCATAAATATTACTGTTAATTCTTTGTGCGCACTTTGTGCTGACGTGTACCCCTCTGCTGTCAATTTTATCAACCAAGGCTCTGATTACATCTCCATGTGTATAAAATTGATCGTTTACATCAACACAATTTATGATTGCTCTCGAAAACAAATCTATTTTCATGAAGTTAGTTACATTTTTAGTTGGTTCATTTATTTTCTGAAATTGAGCCCCGTTGCCTTTTCAGGGTATAATATTGAAAAGGCCTATTTGTGTCAGATCTCACACGATTGACAGCGTTAGTTACAAGAAGGTTTATTTGATCACAGTCACCTATGTTTCTACTTATATCATTTGTGCATAGACTGATAACACCTTTTTCAAAATTTTTTTTTCGGTTTTTCAAAAGGCAATGTTTTTGCTCAATTTTCTAAAGGGATCCTCCAGATTTTGAAGCGTTTACTAATGAATCGTCGATATTTCTGAGCCTACAACAATAAGATGCTCCAAGGAGAACACAAACTGTATCTTTATTAGAATATGATTTGTCTGATGAGATGGGTTTTTTGTCGCCTTCGTCAGTATAAATGTTATTTGTATTGTCTTGTCTTCCCTCGAATAGTTCAGGACCACAGCTACTAAATTCCTTTTTTTCTGTTTCCTGTTTGTACAGTTCACAGTCTTGTCTGGAATGGCCTTTAGTGTTACAGTAAGAGCAGTATTAGGATAGGAGTCACCTGAATGACTAATAGCCGAACAGTTGTAACATCTCTTTTGATTCATGATACTTGGTTTGTCCTTACATTTAAATGATGGATGACCTGTGATATGACAATATATATATGGAGTGCGATTGTACTCGGCAAAAAGTCGTAATTCGAAACGACCAAGTGATAGTCTATAGGGGAGTACTGCCTCACAGTCAAGAACAACAACATATCGAGACACATTTTCGATGTCTGTGCCTTTAATAAAGCATCGATTTATAGAACCGGGAACTACATCCCCAAATTAAGGCATCTGAGTACAAATGTAGCAATTGTCTAGTTCATAAGGCGCGTCTTTTATTGTTTCATGAGTTATTAACTCTCTACTTCATAAACATTAATGGATCTCAGAGTTATACCTTGAGTAGGTAGTATGTCTTTTGTTTTATTTACCTCTTACTTTACCTATTTCTGATATAACATCCTCATGCGATATCCCTTTGAGTCCCTTGGTGAAAAATACTGTTTAGATAACTGTCTGTTTACTCTAGACATTTTTAAGAGTTCACTTCAAGATGTCAACAAATAGACATGTATATAATCACAACATATAGATTATTTTGGAATAAAGTCTTCAAAATTAACTTACATATCCATCATTTGGTAACAACCATATGGATATCTTGAAAAGTTGGCACCAGAAAGTTTAAATGTAAGGAAATAAACACATTTCCGAAGAGCACAAAAAACGCACACAACCATAGTCAAGGGGACATAACACTCGAAAATAGTTATGCATAAAAACCATTTCATACGTTATTGCAAATTTTAATTAATTCATTTAAAATTGTGAAAAAGCATTGGAATAGCATTAAGGAAATACTTTGTAGAAACATTTTATGATAATTTTTTATCAGCCAAAGAAAAAGGAAAAAAAACAAATGTTTTGTTATGACAAATGATTGACAACAACAATTTGCAGTGTAAAATATTCAGCTTTAAAAAGCATCTTTTATCATTCAATATATTGATAATTCGGAGGTTTTATATTTTTTAAATTTCAAAAAACTAAATAGAACCATGTCGGTTACCATGAACCTTAAACAAAAAATATGTTTGTAAGTTATACTCTTAACCAATTAAACTTGTTTATTCCTAAAGTATTATTTCTGGTAATTTAACGCGTTTTTTAACCAACAAAAAACAAAACGTATAAAAATGCCAAAGGAGGGTTTATTTAAACTTGTAGGATGGTCTCGATTTTTGTTTTATATATAATATTTAACTATCATCTAATGAAATTGTTTTAACAGGATATTTTGTGCTTTACCTATGTCAAACACAATCCTCAAGCAGTAACATGTTTCACGAATTCAAATGAATAAAAATTTCCCTTTTTTTGCCAACAATTAAGCTAACTGATAGTCATATACATGTGTTGTAAATAAACATACACACACACGCGTAGAACAAGCAACAAGACCGAGTGAATCGTCATACTGAAAGCTACGGCGTGTTATTTTTTATATTTGTAGGGTCTACCGTGGCAATTGTCGCTGGTATCATTGGTGCAGTGCTGCTTGTTGTGTGCATGGTTATTGTTTGTTGTTGTATACGAAGGTATGTGCTGCGATTTCTCTTAACAATGGTAGCATTGACCGACCAGTTTATAAGATAATTCCACCTGCCAAGTACATACATCAATCAAAAAGAAATAACCATCATACAATTTATGTCGAGCTTGTTAAATATATGTGTTGATGCTAATTGTTTTATAAACGGTATGCATCCAACTTGTACGGCAAACCGTCTACCAGAAATAATCTAATCAGATTTTCTGGTGGTTTTCAATTTTCTGTTTATCATCTAGATTTGTTGATAGGTTTTTTTTGTGTTGGATCCGGCTCAATCCTTAGATTCCGATATGTTGTTTTGTTGACTGTTCTTTATCTGTTCCTCTGACTTTAACTATGCTGTTGTCTGCTGTTCCATGACATACGAGTTTGTATTGTCCCCTTAATGTAATGCCAACTTTATTTATTACATATGATTACAGCGTTATACATTTTTTATATTCGTTATGCCATATGTTAGTAAATTAGAATTTCTGTTGCCGTATAAAATGAACTGCACTTGAAAGTCGTATGCAAATCGAATTGTCCAGTTAACTCCCCAAAAGACTGTTAGTCCCAAACGACAAAATATTCATGAATTGCAGTTACCATTTGAATTCAAGATTACCTTCTAACTGTTTACAGATCCATGCTGACTATGGTAGCTATGCCGAAAATTTATGCATTGGAGCTTAAAATTTTCATGGATTTGAAATTTTTGGCTGTATTTACAATTAACCAGAAACTAAGGGCTAAAGATGTCGTTCAACAACAAGATCATGGCCGGTGGAGCATTTTTTTTAAACAAGAAACAAAACCAATCAAAAGCGTTGTAGACATTTTATCTACTATAAATTGTAACTGCAATCTGAACATAACAAACACATGTTCGATTGCGCCATACAGATAGATACCTCTAGTCTTTCAACACAGAGGATTTGAGTGCAAAATAAAGGTAACAGTAGTTCACGGTCGTGGTAAGATACACTTAACTTCGATCTCAATTAACAAGGATTGCCAGTTTCCTTCCAAATGTTTGTGGGTTTCACATGGTAGTCTGGCTTCCTCCATCTATAACAATGGTCGTCATAATATAGCATTTAGTGCTGAAAATGACGTTACACATCAACAATTAATTAATCAAATTGTATTATTTTCGTTTACGTTACTTTTTTCCTAAATATACTTTATCCCAACCTTAGAAGATATCTGTTTATTGAGTAAATTGGTGTTTTACTTATGAAAAATAGGGATAAATCTTTTCCCAAACGACATAGAAAAAACCATTATAACCTAACAATAAATAAATGTCTACACAAAACGCAGTTTGTTTGACAGTAACACTAATATTTAAGATAAGCTTATAGAATGAAATTTTATTTTGATGTTGCTGGTGGTGAATTGCTTTCATCAGCTTATCTAGTTATGTTTTTGTCGAGCCTTCGACTTTTGTCGAAAAAGCGAGACATAGCGATCCTACATTCCGTCGGCGTCGTCGTCGTCGTCGTCGTCGTCGTCGGCGGCGTCCACAAATATTCACTCTGTGGTTAAAGTTTTTGAAATTTTAATAACTTTCTTAAACTATCCTGGATTTCTACCAAACTTGGACAGAAGCTTGTTTATGATCATAAGATTATATTCAAAAGTAAATTTTGTAAAAAAAAAATTCCATTTTTTCCGTATTTTACTTATAAATGGACTTAGTTTTTCTGCCAGGAAACATTACATTCACTCTGTGGTTAAAGTTTTTGAAATTTTAATAACTTTCTTAAACTATCCTGGATTTCTACCAAACTTGGACAGAAGCTTGTTTATGATCATAAGATTATATTCAAAAGTAAATTTTGTAAAAAAAAAATTCCATTTTTTCCGTATTTTACTTATAAATGGACTTAGTTTTTCTGCCAGGAAACATTACATTCACTCTGTGGTTAAAGTTTTTGAAATTTTAATAACTTTCTTAAACTATCCTGGATTTCTACCAAACTTGGACAGAAGCTTGTTTATGATCATAAGATTATATTCAAAAGTAAATTTTGTAAAAAAAAAATTCCTTTTTTTCCGTATTTTACTTATAAATGGACTTAGTTTTTCTGCCAGGAAACATTACATTCACTCTGTGGTTAAAGTTTTTGAAATTTTAATAACTTTCTTAAACTATCCTGGATTTGTACCAAACTTGGAAAGAAGCTTGTTTATGATCATAAGATAGTATCCAGAAGTAAATTTTGTAAAAAAATAATTCCATTTGATCCGTATTTTACTTATAAATGGACTTAGTTTTTCTGCCAGTTAACATTACATTCACTCTGTGGTTAAAGTTTTTAAAATTTTAACAACTTTCTTAAACTATCCTGGATTTGTACCACACTTGGACAGAAGCTTGTTTATGGTCAAAAGCTAGTATCTAGAAGGAAATTTTGATAAAATTTTGTTCCATTTTTTCCGTATTTTACTTATAAATGGACTTAGTTTTTCTTCCAGTTAACTTTACATACAGTCTGCAGTTAAAGTTTTAAAAACATTTATTAGATTCAAAAACCATCCTCGATTTTTACCAAACTTGGACAGAAGCTACTTACAATGATAAGATAGTATAGAGAGGAATATTTTTATTAAATTTTTTCCTCATTTTTGTTGAGCCTGCGATTAACAGCAAAAGTAGGCGAGACACTGGGTTCCGCAGAACCCTTATGAATTTTTTTAAATTGTTCTCTCCTATTGACATGATATGCAAAAACAAACAGTCACATGTAGTTATGAGGTATATCCGGTGCTTGTGCATGTTGAATACTTCTATTCCCTTTTAGTTTTCTGTGAGTTGTTTGCCTCTCTTTGGTTTATACTCAATGGATACTCTACATTAATTGTGATTACGTTCTTACGCTCATGCATGTTTACGATAGACGAACTTCATTTTCAGCCATAAGCTCGTAACACAATGCAATAATTGCTCCAAAAGAGTTATGAGAAAATGACATAAAAGAATAATACACCAGTGTTATGTTATCCATCACACAAAAGAGTAACTGTAAGATGTGTCTGTGTCCTAATTAATAAGCAACATGTCTGTGTAGTCCTATATCTTTCGATACCCGTAAGGTCGACTGCGCTATAAATTTACCGCATACGTCTTATTCACTATTGTGAATGTATGAGTGTAGATTTTCATGGCGGTTGTTTATGTATGCATAGTTAGAGAGGCTTACTTTGTCGACGTATCCGGTTTCGCTCTATTTTTTGTAGTGCATGCGATTTCATTATTTTTTTTTACTATCTTTTGTATCGTCTAAAAGAGATTTGAACTACGAATTGTTTTACTTTAGACCGATTGAAGTGACGATAAAACCTAAATAATTTTATTGATCATATAAAACGTTCTGTAGAAGGTCAGTCTATTAGGATACACTCCTTTGACGTTAGTGTATTGTAGTATTAATACACATTGAAATTGAGATTCGTGATTCACTAAATTTTAAATGACTGCCGAACAAGTAGGAGTCTTAGAGCGCTGTAAAACATCGTTCCTTTCAAACACCTCTTTCGTTTAGGGTTTTTGGAAGATTTTGTTGTCTTATAAATTTTTTTTTATTTTCTTCTTTTAGGTGGCGGATAAAAACACACAAGAACATAAAACGGTCACCCAGTCGACATAATTCAGTCAAAGATTACACCGGCATACAAATGATCGCATATCCCGACGACATTGCCACAAAATCCGAGGTGAAAAGTCATCCAAATGACATCGTTACCGAAAATAGCAAAAAGGACCATTCACAAGACTTAGAGCTGAACAGGATAAACAATGGGACAGTTGATAATGGAAGTGCGTATTCTTTAGCCAAGCCAATTTTAAATGACCCGCACTTGTCTGATATGAAAATTGAAATGACTGAAACAGATAACGGTTACAGTATGGCAAAGCGAATTTCGAAATTAAATACAAATCCAAACGATCCCCCATACAGTTTACATCTTACCACAATCAACAGCTATGAGGATTCCCAAGAGGGCGTGTATGATCAAACAAAAAACGGACGATACGAGAAGGATACTGATGTCTATGATAGAGCTACTGATAGTACCTATGATACAGCTCATGGTACAAAACAACATATGGGCGATGAGGATAATGCATATGACCATTTCACAGGTCCTAAGACAACTGACAACTACGAGATTGTAACAAGACATAATAATAAAGCCATCTGTGATGAAACGTATGGTGTAAACTAAAAAATTGAAAAGTTGCATAATATACTTATTTTTTGTTTTTAGTTGATCGATGAATTCTTAATACATGTAATAGTAGATACATATTAAGTAAAAATAAAATAAAAATCTAAACCTACACAACATACTATTAAAATGTCATAATGTCATTTTTGTTTGTACAGAACATTCCTATTTTTTCAACTATTAAGTTATTACATGTATTTTGAGATAAACTTTTCTTTGGCATAGACACGATTTTTATTTTATGTTCATATCTTAATATGTTACATTTTACATGTGTTGCGCATGGTTATGTAAAGAGGGAAATTTAAAATGATTTTTAAATCGTATTGCTTAATATCATTTTAGATTGAAATGAGTATATATGCATGATATCTTCAATTTAATGAATGATAAATAAACAAATTATAATCATTATCAATGTAGAATGCATTATTAATGTCTGACCTGTTAATTAATAATAACAATAATAACATTTTATTATAAAATAATTTTCTCATTTACTAATAATAATACATTTATAAAATAAATGAGACTCGCATTTTAATGACGTAACAATGCATAAATGGCCTCCAATCCCAAGGAAATTTATTACCCACTCTCATTTTCTATTTTTATACAGTGATCGCTACTTCCGAATTCACAATAAATTTTCTCTGGTAAGCCTTTGGTTGAAAAGTACGGTTGAATTTATAAATAGTATTAGCTTGCAAAACTTGGCCTTTTTGACTGTTTTGTGAATATCATATGGTATCGTTATGCATGTACATCTTTTCATTAAAGTTTTGATGATTTTGTTTTGTAATTCAACCTTAATTTGTTAGTATGTTATTTGTAATTGTATTGTCATAGTCATGTACTATATTATTATTTGCTTATATAATTCTTGACTGCTTATATTACAAATGCATAACTACCAAGAATGTATGTCACTATTTCTGATATTTTTACCAGATTTCTTGGTTCGTTGAAAAGTAAGCTATTTGTTTATTAGTTTAAACTGATTGAAAGAGAGGAGAAGGATATAAAAGGGACATTCAAACTCACAAGTCGAAAATAAACTGACAACGCCATGGCTAAAAAGAAAAAAGACAAAAAAAAAAGGTGTAAACAAAACACAACATATAAAAAAAGGCTGAGCAACACGAATCTCACCAAAAACTGGAGGTGATCTCAGGTGATCCGGGAGGGTCTTTGATTTTGACGTATTGTTGTTATATATACATATACATTGAACAGTAATACTTATAAAATGTTATTAAAATAACATGAAATAAAGAATCATAAATTACAATTCGGTTTTAAACGTCAAAAGTACTTAAACCTCATTTAAAAAAAAAGATCAGTTAAAATATTTCATACCTTTGGTCATACAACAGACTAATACGATAAGATTATTTATTGACCTTTATCTTAACTTGATTAACGAATTGGGTGACGATTGGAACGCTATCTCAAATCACTAGCGACATGTTTCTGCGGTCTTAGATCTTTTGATGATGCAATGAAGTATGGTCGTCTGATCTGTAATTTTATCAATTGTGTCCCATTCCCAATTGTAATTTTTTGACGATCCCAGGTTTTTGTTTGAAATTTTGATTGGTCTTTCTCTTCCTAGTCGATATATGAGATTTTAAAATTGATAAACTGTTGTCGCCTTAATTAAACGGTTTTTTATTTGTTTAACATCAAATAAAATTTGGGAAATGGGAATAGATTGACCATTCAAATTTTGGTACCCTAGCAGATGAAACAACACAAAAAATGATAATTGAGACCAAGCTGGTATTTGCGTCTATAAGTCCTCCGACCTAAAGTTTTTCAAAAAAGTTAAACAATTTGTTTTTTCATATGTAGGGGAACTTTCAAAGTCTGTTGACGCCGTCAATAGCAGTTCTATAATTTTACATGCGTCATTGTTTGTTTTAATTTTACCTATTATAGTTGTGATTGTATTGTTATGCCTTGTGTGTCGGTTAAAAGCTCATTAGAGCCTACGTTATATCTTTGTTTTGTAGAAGTATGACTTCTATAAATCAAGCTTATATATATATATATATATATTAATGCTGAGTTCACACGTAATTCGAATTCGATTCGCACTAACTAATTCGAATTGGTTTAATTTGCATTCGAAACGTTTTACGTCCTAACGTCAATTCTAATTCGAGTTGAAATGCGCGTCACATTCGTTTTATTGTCCAAACATCGTTATCCTTTCATTTGCATTATCAATTAATTAATTGATTGATTTAAAAAGATTTAAAACAAAAACAAAAAAATATTTTAGGGCGAATTGCGTCTCCAACCTTCTTGCTCTTGTATGGATTATTTCCCTTTTCAGTATTTAAACATTTCAAGATGTGCCGAAAAAAGTGACCTTTAAATTTTGAGATGGTTCTATTAGCAGACCTACAAGTTCAGATTTAGTTTTTTTTCTGTCAACCGGATTGAATGTCGTTTCCGGCGACGTGTACGCTGTCTGCGTATGTAGATTACCAGCCGTGTCTTAAGATATGTAAAACTAAGAAAAAGCATTGGCTGACTAGTATGTATAAAAGAGGGACGAAAGATACCAGAGGGACAGTCAAACTCATAGATCGAAAACAAACTGAACAACGCCATGGCCATAAATAAAAAGACAAACAGACAAATAATAGTACAGATGACACAACATAGAAAACCAAAGACTAAGCAACACGAACCCCACCAAAAGCTGGGGATGATTTCAGGTTCTCAGGAAGGGTAAGCAGATCCTGCTCCACATATGGCACCCGTCGTGTTGCTCATGTTATTACAAATCCGGTAAATAGTCTTATTCGGTAAGTCACATCCGTGAAAAGGGAGGGTATTGTAGTAACGACATAAGGAACATATCCGATATCATCTGTGAAACGGATATTCCATAACGGTAAACCAACTCGTGATGGTGTCCGTAAAATTTACGAAGGGATGACTTCAACTTCACCATTTGGAACTCTTGGATTAATAGCTTCCTTGTGAGCAGCAATCCTCTAACAAGGAAATCATGATAGGAAACACAAACCCGGGAATATCGGGCTTGTGTTTCCTATAATATAAGTTGTGACACGAAGCCTTTCTGTGACATTTTTTTGTTCAGAATGGTATAATGCACTTTCACGTCAGGATTCAATACCGATCGGATTGAAATTGGGATTTTCATATAATACTTTTTGACACAAATCAACTGAATTATACATCGCTACCAATAATAAATCAATTGATCAGAAAGATAAAATTAAAAATTTAATACATTTGGAGAAGAAACAAACTTTATGTGTCTTACAATAGATGTTCTTTGGAAAAAATATTTGAGACTAATTGTGATTACTTAACACTGTTTGTCAACTAATAAAAAATCTAAACATTTCCCGAAAATTACGAACATTATTTGCCCATTTCTCAAATATTTCAGCAAGAGCGCTGATCAAGTCTTTTATTCACCAACGCACGTTCGGTGTAATTTATGCCTGGAACTTTGATATATTGTTTCTGCTTCACCTTGGTCAATTCAAAACAACATGAGACCCCTATCTTGGTTATTCCGCTCCGCAGTTACTCAGAGAGGAAAATATTGTGATACAGATGTTGAAATGTTTGTGAAACAGTAATGAATGACTATGTTGTACTGTTACACCACTGGCAAAGGCTGCTGGGGAGGGTTGGGTTCCCGCTAACTTGTTAAATCCTGTCACATTCTGTATGTTTGTGTCTGTCCCAAGTCAGGAGCTTGTAATTCATGTGTTACATATTTGTTTTTTGTTCATTTTTTGTACATAAATTAGGCCGTTAGTTCTCTCGTTTGAATTGTTTTACATTTGTCAATTAAAGGCCTTTTATAACTGACTATGCGGTATGGGCTTTGCTCAATGTTGACCGATAGTTGTTAATTTCTGTGTCATTTGGTCTTTTGTGGAGAGTTGTTTCATTTGCAATCATACCACATCTTTTTTTCTTATGACGTTGTATATGACGTCACAAATGACGTGTGCTGTATTCCTTGCAAGACACCAATATGGAGCACTGCGATCGCAAAAAAATGTTCAGCTTTATTCTCTGAATTCTCATGAGACTAGTTTTTTCTGTGTGGATACAAAATAAGAGAATAAAGAGGAAAGTGGTGCTACAAAATCAAAGACAGAGGAGAAACGACATCTTTTTTCCATCTTTGCAACGAAGGCGAAAAATGGCATGTATGTTGTTTGTTGATCATGCTAAAAAGCCATGCACAGAAATAGCGCTGTGGGCAAAAGAAAGAACAGTTGACATTTACATTGATGCAATAAGTGTTTAGTCACATTCGGATTGGAGGCACCATACTAGAATTTTGAAGGAAACATTTAGTTTCTTGGAAGAAGAGCTAGGTTCACATATAAAAAGGAAGGATACAGTGATACGATCGGCTGTTCCTGTTGGCAAAAGACTTCTAATGACTCTTTGGTATCTTGGTACACAGATGGACTTTCTTCGATCTTTGGCCACAATATTGGGAATTGGAAAATCGACAGCGTGTAATATTGTACACGAAGCATGCATGGAAATGAGACAAGTTCTTACTAAAACAGTCGTAAAATTCCAAAGAAACCAAACGGCTGATGATGTAGTAAGCGGCTTCGCCAACTTAGGATTCCCACAAACCGTTGGTGCTATAGACGGCACGCACATACCTATAATTGCGCTTTCTGAGAACTCGAGTAACTTTTACAACCGAAAAGGTTATTACAGTATAATTATGCAGGCTGTGGTAGATCATTCCTATAAATTCATAGATATACATGTCGGATGGCCTGGTAAAGTTTACGATGCGCGAGTGTTCAGACATTCTTTCCTTTTTGAAATTGGAAACCAAGGATTTTTCCCAGAGAAGGTGTTAAATCTAAATAACACACAGGTTCCTATTCACTTGATAGGAGATGCCGCCTACCAACTTCTATCATGGTTAATGACCCCGTTTAAAGGAAAACTATCGGAAATACAAGAAACATACAACTACAAACTATCTAGTGCAATGGTGGTCGTAGAAAATTCTTTTGGCTGATTAAAGGCCCGGTTTAGAAGACTGCTCAAGCGATTTGATGGGCAGCTTCCATGTTTGTTGGATGTTATTGCAGACTGTGTTATTCTCCACAATATTTGCGAAATCAAAAAGGACGTCTGTATCGAATAGTGGTTTGATGAAGAAGTGACAAGGGACGTTGAAAATGCTAGGGCTGTTTGCGGATATTTCGAAGGACAAATAGGTGATGCTAAAAACATAAGAAAAGCGATAGCAGAGTACCTGATTCAGTGAACGTAATCGTATGAAACTTTATGAGAAAGTATCAATTTGATGACATGTAATTTAGATTAAACTTCATTATATGCTCTGATAATTTAAAACTCAGAATATGTACGATATATTGCATTAAAATAAATTAAATATGTGTATATCTAATAACGCTAATTTTACACTTTTCCAAAAATACACAATTTATCCATTTCGAAAAAAGTATTGTTCATTTGTACTCAACGTTTTTTGTCGGTCGGTACAATGTTTATTATTTGTTGTTTTCCTTTGTTTGTGTCGTAACTCTTCATTATGGATACATAGGTTGTCTCACGGCAAAAATAACTCACTGCAAGTTGTATATAAGAAAGAAAAAATATAACGGTATTTGAGATTGTTAACACCTCTATGGACAGATGTATTTATGCTAAACAATTTTACCAATTGGGAAAACAAAAGGTATGTGTGCTTAGTGTTCTGCTACCTACCCTTATTGGTATCCCCTACCCT